AGAGAGAGAGAGAGAGAGAGAGAGAGAGAGAGAATTTTATTATTTATTTATTTTTTTTAGTTTTTGGTGGACACAGCATCTTTGTTTTTATGTGGTGCTAAGGATTGAACCCGGGTTGCACGCATGCCAGGCCAGCGCACTACCGCTTGAGCCACATCCCCAGCCCACACAGACTATAGTTCTACAGGCAGAATATATGACTTTTTGGCACAACCCTCATAATGCCATAGTTCTGCAGGTATGAAGGGCTTGCTACTATGCAGGCATTGACCATTGCCCTGGGCACAGACTAGGAGTGTGTGTGCACATACAACTCATGTAGAAGAAATTCTTGACTAGATTTTGCTTTGTGTTTCTTTCTTTTTAATTATTAACTTTGTCATTTTGTTTCATTACTTTTATCTTATTGTCATAATTTAAAAGAATTTTTAAAATTTTCTTCCAATTTCTCATTCTTCCTTTTTTGATAATTAATTTTACTTTTATGAACCTTTAACAATTTAGTGGATCCTAAATATTTTATCCCTTTCTTCTCTGTTGTTATTGGTGTTCCTTTTTTTTTCTTGTTGATTATTTCTTTATACCTATATCTAGTTTGCCTTCATGCTGTATTATTGTTGTTTGTCTTCTTCCATTTGCATTGGGGATCCAGCCCCATTCCTTGAACACATTGGCAGGTACTTTGCAACTTCTAAAAACCCACAGCAAAGGTAAGAAAAAATGCATCTTACTTTCCACCGAAGACATACATTCCCACTTATAACTTGGCAGGTACTTCAAGTCAAATAACAGGGTAAATAAAAGCCCCCAGCTGACATGTACCCATGTTGGTATGGATCGAATGTACTATAATCCAGTGTCTGGCAGCCACCCTCATAGCATGAGCAGAGAGAGGTGAAACAACTCTGTTTACAGAGTTGTGCAGGTATGAAGTCTGCACCTAGCAGAATCTCAGCCTAGGTTGTTGGAGGCCATGACCAAGTCAAGATGGTGCCTGACAGTTTGCCAGGAGGAGTGGCTTGTGAGGCAATGCCACCGAGCCATCAAGATAGTGAGGACTCCTTATTGGCTGATTGCTGTATCTGTAGGGGAGCAATGCAATGATTGGATGATGCTGATTAAGTCATGCTTTATGTAAATCAGTTAGATATATATACCCCTGCTGTTCCGCAATAAAGCAGTTACCTTCAGTTACCTTCAGTTCCCACTTCAACCTTCAGTTGCTTGTCACCTCTCGGTTACTTTGCCCTGCTGGACTGTGGCACTAGGTCTCTCCCATGCCTTTGCAGATGGAAAATTAATGACAAGGCTACAGTAATGACCACAAAAAATGCAGCCCACATAATCCACTGCCTACATCATGTGACTCCATTCTCACAAGATTGACAAAAAGAGTTGGTCCTTCAGGCTATGATAGTACAAACTGTGACAAAACCCATGAGTCATAGTCAGGGAAAACATAAAAGTCTATAATAAAAAATCTATAATATGGAAATAATCTTGACAAAATAAACCAATAGCCCAGGATACATCAATAAGAGAACGTTATTTCCTAAGAAGACTCTCACATAAATGTGGAAGAAACATACATCCCCACAGATGCACAAAATTCAGCACAAATATAAGAAAGATGAACAAATAAGGTAACATGGATCCTCCAAAAGTTTGTAACTCTCTAGCAACTGATTCCAATGACACTGCAGTAGACAAAATGACAGAAAAAGGATTAAAAAGATATTAAAAATAATGTATGAATTCAAAGATGATACAAATAGAAGATGAATAAAGTAATAAGCATTAGAAAACAGTGCAAAAATAGAGCTTCTGAAAAGCATTAGAGAACAGTGCAAAAATAGAGCTTCTGAAAAGAAATCAAACAGCAATCTTGGAAATAAATAGCTTAATATTTCAGATTAAAAAAATAAATCGAAGTTTTAATCATAGACTAGAGTAAGCAGAAGAAAAAATAGCAGAGTTGGAAGGCAATGATGAATGTCACCTTTAGTTAGTTATGACAACAAAAAGAAGAAACAGAATATACAAAGTTCTTGGTACCTGATTTATAGACTAAACTCATGAATTATGAACATAGACAATGGTGTATTAGTACAGGCTTATAGGCAATGCAATTTATTTGGAGAAAAAAATAGAGAAAATTTCTTAAATTTTTTTTAATGCTATGGATGTCCAGATGTAGGAAGCATTTAGAACACCAAATGGACATGACCAGAATAGAACTTCTCCATATTTGTTTATAAAAATTGCCAAAAGTACATTAAAAGCTGTAAAAAAGACCAAAGAACTTATAGAATAAACTCATAAGAAGAACATAAGAGTTATCAATAGAAACTTTGAAGGCCAAGGAACATGAAATGGTATATTTCAAGCCCTTAAGAGAAAAGAAAGAAACAAAGACAAAAACTTAAGATGGATGGAGAGGGTGGCTATTATGTTAAGCAGAATAAGTCAGAAACATAAATCAAATATCACATTCTCTATAACATGTGCAATTTGAAAACAAATCAATAATGGCTAGGAAATGTAAAAGGAGTTATTAGGGAAGAGGGAAGGTAACAAGGGATGAAGAAATGAAGGGACAGATAGAAATGGAAGTAGGGAAAGTGGTTGGGATTCAAGTACTATTTACATATGTATGGAAATATCACTGTAAAATCCACGAATTTGTATTCAGAGTAAGAGCTGATATCTATAGTAAAAATAGAACATCTGTTTTTATTAGGAGTCCACTTTGCTACAATGTCATTACATAGGAAAGACAATATGCTAATTTGAATTTTTTTACTTATTTATGCACATAAATATAAGATTTCAGGGGCCAAGATTAAGTTAGCCTAAAATTTCTTCAGACAATATCATTTCAGATTATAAATTTCCTACAATTAATGGTTTAAATAATCATGAATTCTAGATTATTAAGAAAAAAATTAAGAACAATATGAATGTAACACATTAATTTTTCCACTGCTCCTTTGCAATCCAAACTTTCTTACTCCTATTTATTTACTTACTTTGGTACCAGGAATTGAGCCCAGGAGAGCTTAACCACTGACAGACAGCCCAGTCCTTTTGTAATTTTTGAGAAAGTGTCTTTCTAAGTTGCTAAGGGCCTTGCTAAATTGCTGAGGTTGATTTTGAACTTGCAGTCCTCTTGCCTCAGCCTCCTGAGCCACCCGATTACAGGCTTGCCAACACTGCACCTGCCATACTCTTACTTTTCTTATATAAGCCATGAATACCATGATCAATTCACTTTCAGAAGTCTTACTTGGGTTGATGTTTTCAGGATGTTTAGATTCTACTTTCATATATTGAAGAATTAATTCCTTGAGGCTATAGATAAAAAATTAATCAAATTAGCATTTTAATATTATATAAAACCATAACCAAACATTCAATTTATAATAGTATTTTAAACAATATTAGACCTTATATCAGAACTTTATAATATGCACTTGAAATTTGTAAGCCCAGAAATTTTATTAACTTGACAATTATTTGTAAATTGTTTGGTTTTCTTTTGTTCTTGAGATGGGATTTCACAATGATGCACAGGCTAGTCTGGAATTCCTTGGTTCAAGCAATTCTCCTGCCTCATTCTCTCCCCCAAGTAGCTGTGGTAAATACACATGCCATTGCACCCATAAGCTTATATTAAGAAAACAAAGTAAGATATAATGATCATGAATTGAGAACAATATAGGTGAGTATATTAACTGATATAGCTAGAACTCAGAAAATGTCATGTAAATAATAGCTCTTTCTTCTTGCACAATTTCTCTTAAAATTAAGGGCTTCTTCTAAAAAATAAGGGTTGTACCACTTTAGTTTACAAAGTTGTTAGGAAGACTCAATGAGGTAATATTAAAACATGTCAAAATAAATAGGAATATAATGACATAATTTGATCTTTTTATTCAACTATAATTGGAATTCCAAATAAACCAATGTGTATTCTTCACAGGTTCTAATATTCAAGTGTTGAAATTACTGAAAAATGCTTTTGAGTTTTAATTTTGTTTATTGATTGTAGTCTTTTTTGTGCTTTATGTCTCAGGGCAAATTAGAATAAATAATCCATAAGAATTTATTTATAAGTATGATATCTCTTTAGAGAATATATTCATCCTCTATTGTGAAACTAATCAATAACACCAAAAATGGGAAATTAACCAATGCCAAGAATTGGTTTGGACTGCTATTAATTCTTCTCCACCTAGTTGAAAAGAATCAACGGATAATTTTTAGAGGAAGCTAAATCTCCATGTCGACCTCTAACTGACTTGGAAGACCAAATCCTCTTTACACATGGATACTAATAAGTCATAATGGGGCTTAGCACTCTTAGATTCAATGAATATACTTTAAGCTCAGAGAACTTATCTCTTCCTTGTAAGGGAGAACTTGATATGTGCTGAAAACTTTAGACTGATTGTAATAGTTTGGGAAATTTTCTTACTTTGGAAAGCAAATCACTAGACACATCCAACCTGGGAAACATTAATATTGGGCCTCCTGCTGTAAAAGAAAATATACTTCAAGGGATGAGAGGTTTCGAGGAACAGATCTTTTCGGAAAGATGATTGGAAATTCTCATCTCTTCAGTGATATTATTTGAAGCTATCTGATAGTTCTGAATGATTAGTTTATGCAATAAAAGACAAAGTCCTCAAAGGATAATGCACCAGGAAGGTCTAGGCTAACATGGGGGTTGTTCCACATAAAGGTTTGAGTTGTGGGACAGGGCCAGAGTTCTTAATATGTGTGTGGCTAAAGCTAGGAGGCCAAGTTGCCAAAACAGAATTCTGCTGTTTGGGAATAATAGCTGAATAAACAAGCATATGTATATATGAACTAAAAATAGCATTGTAACTTTTAAATCTAAGTGTGCATTACCATGAATACTCAGGGATTGGGATCAATCAGGACATTTTGTAGTAAAAGTTAATCATCACCAGACTGAAGAGCCAGTTCTAACAGCAACACCACAGCAACAGAATTGACAGAGAAAAATTAACATTTTAAAAGTCCTTCCACCCGCTCTTTAGACTTTAAGGAAACTCTCAGGTCCTTGGGAAATTAACGAAGGGTGGTAGAAAAGCTAACTTTCATAGGAGAGTAAAAATATTTTCTACTCAACTGGGCATTTTAAGACCCAAATAGCTAATTATAAAAATCAAAGTGTGACACTATTTCTACTCCACAGTGAGGAGTTATACTTGGAATAAAAGAGATAAGACTGGGAATCATAATGACATAATTTCTTTTTTTAAAGAATCCTAAGATGCTGACTAGTGATGTATCTCAGTGGTAGAGCAACTTACTAGCATGAATAAGGGAAAAAGTAAAAAAAAAAAAAAAAAAAAGAAAGGAGAAGAAAGGAACCTCTGAGAAGACTCTTACATTCATCACTATTTTTGTCTAGACATTTGCAGGGTTCCTGGCTGATGAAGTCTAATTACTCATTATCATTCCACATATAGCTGTACTATAAAATCTCACCTCATGTGTAAAATGCAATAGTTTTAATTATTTTCAGCCTCCAATCAATATTGATTAGTATTTTAATGTAAATACTTACCTAGTATCACCACTAGCAATAGCATAAGCTAATGCCATCTTCCCAAAGTTATCTGCAGCAGAGACATCAATACCACTCTGAAGAAGCATCTCAACTATGTGTTTTGATTTTTGTTCCAAAGCAAACATGAGGGCTGTTCTATAATAAGAGAGATAACTTCAAGTATTTTAATAAAGTTATTCAAAGAGCTAATTTATAATATTTTCCCAATTCGACATCTTACTTTACAGATACTAATAGACATAAACATCTAAGAGAACAAATATTCACTTTTGCAAGTCATCTCAAAGTCTAAAAGGAAAAAAAAAAAAAAGAAAATCTCTTTTCCCAATGAGGGAGATGTTAACAAACTTAAAATCCTTCAATGGACAGTAACTATGATGAAGTCATTTATCTGAAATTAGTACAACTTTCAATGAAGAAAGTTCCATTTCCTTCCTAATGTGACACAATATACTGTAACTCACAGTCAGCTAAAGTCAAGCAGAAAAGGCTATTTGCACGCTAATAATAATAATAAAAATAATAGTAATTATTTCAATTAAAGGTACTGATAAGTATTTGCTAGACATTGAATGCAATGCAATATGTACAATTTAACAATCATCCTTCAAGCATGTATTATCATATTTTTCATATCAGGAAATATATTTAGTCAGTATTGTTTTTAAGGTGATGTACTACAAAAGCTAGGAATAAAATTCAACTGTGTGAGAATCTAAGGCTTTTTTTTTCTTTTTCTCCCTCTGTACCTTCCAATTAAAAGCAAAAGCACCAAAATATATTAAAAATGAACAGCATTTGGCAGTAGCAATTAATAAACACTTAGGAATAAACTAACATCAGTATTCTACATGGAAAGCAATTCAGAACAGTCAACCAAATAAAAAAATAATTTCCAATGCCTATTTATAATCAATACATCTTTTCCAAAAGAAAAATAAATCAGACACAGAAGTTAAAAATATAATAGAAACCAAAATGTAAACTAAAACTCCATATTTTACAAAACTAATAGTAATAGTAAAACTTTTTAGTTAATACAAAATCATGTGACCAACAAACCAATAACAAATATCTGCCAATAATTTTGAATCATATTAATATACTTATTTGTATTTCTCAATTCAAATAATTGATTTTTTACCTTAATTGTGGTTTGTTTTTTATATCACTCTATTCTAAATATGTTAATATTGACCTTCCCATTAAACTAGTCATTTTTCCTTGAGCGATTGTTACTATATAAATAATATATATATAATATGTATATAAAGTACTATACCTTCCATTCTGGTCAACTGCATGTATATTTGCTTTGTTCTGAATTAATGTTTCAACCATCTGCTGTCTGTTTTGCTCTATGGCAAGTAAAAGTGGTGTATAGCCACTCTAGAAAACAACAAAAAGTTTACAAAATTATTCAACTGAACTGAACCTCTTACAAAGTGCTGTCTGAATATAAGAATATAACAAATAATGTAAATTAAGAGTAACCTCTCCCTTCTCATCTCATTCCACTTTCATATTTTCTGACCCTTAACTTTGCAATGTCTCTTCTCTACTTAGAGTGGCCACATAAACTCTAGTCATTTCTTGAAGACAGAGACCACTTTTCTCAATAGCCCTGTACCCTAAAACAATTAGTAAAGGATTTAAATATTATATTTAATAAGCCAATTTTTTAACTCTATATCATCAGGGTTTATTAATCTACATACCAAAGAATACATACTTTTACAGAAATACCAACCCTTATCAGAAAGGTTCCTTGATTCACTGTTAGAGAAATTTTACAAGACTGTGCATTATATATCCAGTACTACAGAAATATCTTTAATATTGCTTAATACTTCTTTGACATTGATTTTTCATAGCAAACATTTACATGTAAAAAACTAAAGTTGCAGGTATACATTTTCCAATAACATGGAAGTTTTCTTTATGTTACTCAAGTCCTCTTGATTCTATTCCATTTATGGTGTCAGAATCCCACATACCAATATCAGGCATTTGTGCTCCAAATTGTTCACAAAAGAAGTGGGCTCTGAATTGAAAGAATAGACTTTGAGTACACTATGCTGCTTTTTTCTTAAAGGAAAGGAATTAAATCTTGTTTTTTTGCTATTATTAGATAAAAAATATTTACCTTCCATGTTATAAAGATGAATACAAAACTATATTCTCCCTGGGAATCAGTGAAAGTCTGTCAGCTACTCAGATGATAGGGGGTTAATATCCAGAATATATAACATAGACAACAATATACCCCCCAAACAACCTATTCCAATAAATGGACAAAAGAACTGAGGAGTCATTTTTCAAAAGAAGAAAATTAATGAACAACAAATATATAAGCAAATGTTTAACATCTCTAGCAATCAGAGAAATGCTACAAAAAGGGCTAATATCACTCCAGTTGGAATGGTAAAGAGCAAGAATACAAACAACAATAAATGCTGGCAAGGTTGTGTGGATAAAGGAACATTTGTACATCATTGGAAACACTGAAGACTAATATGTTCACGCTGCAAAGCAGTTTGAATATTCCTAAAAAAATCTAGGGATCAAACCACAAGAGAACCAAGATATTTCTCTCCTGGTTATTTTTTGTAAACGAACTAAATAAAATCAGCATACTATAATGATATAGCTACTTCAAGTTTACAGTAGTCCATTCTTAATGATTACATTGTAAAATCAACCCAGATGCCCACTGGTGGATGAAAAGATTAAGAAATTCTTGTATGTATACACAATGTCATTCTACTCACCCATAAGGAATAATTAAATTATGGAATTTGCTAGTAAATGGGTGGAAATGGAGAATATCATGTTAAGTGAAAAAAGTCAAACTCAGAAACTGAAGGGTTGAATGTATTCTCTAATATGTGGAAGCTAGGGTAAAATGAAGAAAAGGAGGAAGGAAGGATAGGATATCAAAAAGATACAGGGAAGATCACATAGTGTAGTAGGAGAAGATGGAGGGGCCAAGTAGAAGGATAACAAAGGAGAGTCAACAAATAATGAATTCTTCAAAAATTATGTTTTGTGGATATATAAATATACCACAGGAAATTTCATCTTTCTGTTTAAGTAAAAAGAACCAATCAAAACTAAATAAATAGAGAAGGGAGCATAAGTCTATCAGAGTAGAGGAAAGAGAACAATGGAGGACTGGAAGGACAGAGGGAGAGAGGATCAGGAGAGAAATTGAATCTTGAACTGAAATCAAATTCCATGCATGTATAATTTTGTTGGGATAAACCCGACAAAACTACTAAGTATAACAATGACTATATATACTACTATGTATTCAACTTCTATGTATAACTATTACAATCTAATAAAAATAAGATCATAACATATATCCTCAGTTTTAATGGTAATTCTGGGACACTAATGAACATCTGGTTTTCAAGATTCTTTTACTCTTATGCCATCTTAGTTGCTACTTAAAACAATTTATAAATTGAGGCAAAATGTAACTCAGAAATTTTGCATATTGATGAGCTTCATAGTGATCTGTATGGATGAATTGTTTTTTTGCATAATGAAAGACAATAAACCAATTGCATTTTTAAGGGACAAAACTGAAGAGAAAGAGATAGTATTGCTTGCAGTGTGAATAATTGTTTTTTTAATTTATAACAATGTGTAACCTAAACAAGCTTTAAAAATTCCAATGGGAATATGATTTTTATAGTATACATAAGAAAATGTGTTTAAAATTCTAATTTATTAGAATTGGAAGATAGCAGAATAAAGGAAGCTGCATTCCAAGCTGTGTTGTGTTAAAAGACCAAATAAGTGGGTATAAAGCTTCTCAACCTAGGTAGGTGAAGAAGAAATTTCACCAAAATTAAATATTGGACATTGAAAGAGACTTAGGGATTCTAAAATTTGAGTGCAAAAATACTGAAGAAAGAAAGTGCCATTGCCCATGACCAATGACTGCCAGAAGTGGATTTGGCACAGACTTGTTGACTTACAAGGGGTAGTAAAGGAGGTTGCATTGCAAGCTGTATCTTTGGAGTGTCTTGATTCAGAGAAATCTCACATCAGAAACACTGCCTAAACTCATGGGATCCAGAGACTGCACTAGATGCTTAAAAATCATGCTCTGTTGGAAGGGGAAAGGGGAGTTCTATTCATTTCTCCTTTGTGTTTGGCAGCTCAAAGACCATCTGAAAGGGGCCAACAATATGAGTGGTTGAGGGGAATGCAGTCAAGGACTAAATCCAGAAAGGCTATGCTCTGGGGACTCCAATGAGTGTAGAATCATCCCCCCCTGAACCACAATTAGATTTCTTAGGAGGCTTCTGAGAACCAGATCCATTGAAGAAATTGGCTGCTGTGTAGCCTAAGAGTAGGTCAATAGAGTTTCTTCAAAGAAAGCCAGGTGCAACAAAACCTAATTAGACCTGAGGCCAACTAGATCTCAGTGCCAGCATCTAGAAAATCCCTTAAAGAAAGCTGCAGAAGTGGTAGCCCAGGAGTGCATCAAACTGGTCTTAATGGACACTACTAACTCATCCCCCTTCATGCAGAAAAGAAGAAAATGTCTCTTATGTAAAACAGCTTCAATCTTAGGCCACTCCAACTAGTAACAAAAAAAGCAGGAAGAGGTTAACACCCACTTTCTTTGCTCTATCAGTACATAACTAAAAATTATACATAATGTTAGTACATAGTTTTTAGTTGTAGATGGACATAACACTTTCATTTTATTTATTAATTTTTAAGTGGTGCTGAGGATCAAATGCAGTGCCTCATATGTGCTAGGCAAGTGCTCCACGACTACATAACCATCCCAGCCCTCTCATTCTCTCTTATCTTCTGGTAACAACCAAATTCTATTGTTCTCTCTCCCTCTCTCCCAATACATGTTTTCTTCTATTTTCCTTATCTTCTTCTAATCATTACTGCCAAATATCTTCTGCACTCTCTGTTCACTTTCTTATAAATCTTAACTAACTTTGTAAGACATTTCTTTTTTTTCTACTTAACTGCATTTTTAACATTGTAGCTCCTGCCCCCCCACCTTTAATGCTAATACAATCGTTAGTATTGTAGGTTATATGACTGACACTTGCTATTGGCTTTAAAGCCACAGATAGTTCATGGTTATTGTTTATAATTTGATAATTGCTATGTTTACTACTCCTCTTTATGGCTACATTAATGTTGAGACATCAGAGCAGGATCTAGGTATTAATGTTAACTCTGTGGTATATTATTTGGAACAGTTATCACTACTGTTTCTTTCAACCCTATTCTGTAATGTGTTGAGAAGCCATAGGGACACTAAGAGTTCACAGGTTAAAAAATGTGCTGCTGAACTAAACATTCCCTGACATTACTTTATCCCAAACAAGTGAGGAGATAAATCCCCTGAAGTATCAACAAGAATCCAGAGAGAAACAAAAGAGAGGAAACTTGGGGACCATGCACATAATTTTGTCAAAGTAAACCAAAGTACCATGTGTAATTATAAAACTATACTAATAATTTTAAAAGAAAGAAAATTGCCAATTTCTAAATTCTAAAATTTAATCCCATTTCAAAGATTTTTATAGTTTGTTATACAATCCAAATTCTTTTTAATTGATAAAATACCAAGAAAAGTATGTATTCTTTATAAAAATATACTATAAAACAAGAGTTATATATTTATTTATTGAGGAAAAATAGATCATCTGAGTGAGTGCTACATTTTGCCAGCCGAAAACTAGAGAACACTCATCTATGCTATTAGGAGGCACTCTCTGCTTACCACACCACACAGTAACATGGCTCAAAGGGGACCTCATTTGGTTCTTAGAAGAAGCCTAGATTCCAGATTTTTGCATCAGTCATCTTAATTTTAAATATGGACACAATGCTTAGATGTAAATTAAATAAATTCATGAGATAAAAATGATGAAGAAGATGGACAGAAATTTCAACAACTGTTACTATTCTGATCAAGAAAACCCTGCTTAAAAATCCACATTTGTTGAAGAATGTCACACTTAAAACAAATGTATTTTAAATATTTTGGAAATAATCATGTTTGGTGTATACCGTAGTTCTGGCTTCTATATTTGCATTGAGTGAAAGCAGTTTTTCTGCTAGTGATGTTTTCTTCAGAGAAAGAGCAAAGTGAAGAGGAGTTTCATTTCGGTTGTTGTGAGCATTTGGATCGGCACCATTTTCTAGAAGGATAGTTGCACATTTCTCTTCCAGATATTGTAGGGCCTGTTGGTTTTATACCAAGAAATAAACTGTAAATTTTGACAATTGAAGAAAAACATTTTATATGTTTTACTAATTAATCATATTAAATAGAATTAATCAATTTTTCTTCAAATCATTTCCATCATTTTTTTTTCTGCAGATATCCTTGGCTACATCTACCTTCATCAATGGTGTATTGCCATCACGGTCACAGAGGTGAATATTACATTTTTTCTTCACTAAAAAAGCCACCAATTCTGGGTGGCCAAAGGCACAGGCATAATGTAGAGCAGTCCTATGAAGGCAAGAGGCTTTGTTAGAAGTTCATAAAGCATCCTCTCAAAATACATGATTATTTATTCAATTATCAACATTTAAAAGTATGCAAGTCCTCTACTATTTTCTAAAGAAAGAACAATATTTACTAGCTGTTAGTACACACTAAGTTAATAAATGAGCAGCCTATTCTGTTGACTTTTTGTTTTATCTTTTTGTTTTTTGGATACTGCTAGGGACTGAAGCCAGGAGCACTCAATCCAGGAGCCATATCCTAAGCCCATTTTTATTATTATGATTTTTTTTTAATTTTGAGGCAGAGTCTCCATAAGTTGCCCAGGCTGTCATTGAACTTGCAATGCTTCTGCTTAATTCTCCCAAGTAACTAAAAATATAGGCATGAACTACTGGGTCTGGTCCCATTGATCTTTTATTTTTTATTTTTTTATTTTTTTTTTGGTGCTGGCATAGAAACCAGGACCTGGAGCCTCCTAGATAAAGTCTCTACCATGGAGCTATATCCCATCCCAGAGTGTCCTACTTGCCTAGAAAGTGCATGGACCTTGAATTTAGCTCAACATTTGCTTGAATTCTACTTTAACCTCTGTGACATGCTATTTAGTTCTCCTATTCATCAGTTTTATCTCCAATAAAATACTGATTAAAATTAGTAGTTACCTACTGGGATGATAGTGTGATACTTAAAATTAAAATCTATGTAAAATGTTTGAACAGTTTCTAGTACAAGCAACAGCTCAATAATTGTTGGCTATTGTAATTATTACTATTACTATGAATCAACAGAGTATTTCACTTAATGAAGAAATACTATTATAGTGATTTAACAAATATCTTGTAGGGACTATGTATTTCAATGAGTCTTAGATGCTCTTTTTTCTATCATTTTGACATCACTGACATTGGAATGCCACTACAAGTATAATGGCAGCATTCAATTTTTTTATTCATACATGAAATAAAGGACCATCACACAGTACCTTACCTTAAGTGAAATGTGATACACACAAGAGGTCTACTGTGGTTATAGTCATATAAGTGGCATTTAAATTAATTTTAATTGTTAAAAATACTATAGGTAAGGAGAGATGAATGATAAAACAATAATAAAAGACCAAATTAAAACCATAGTAATCCTTGCTTTTTTTTTTTTAAAGTAATTTAAAGCTAAAGGAAATGTAGGACTCAAATGAATTAGCATGGTTCAATCTATTCAATATTTAGATTTACAGGATATACATAAATCAGGTGTTTCCAATGTTCAGTTTTTAACACTGCCTTAACTTTTAAAATGGGCAGTTTATAATTTCCTACCACCAGAGTGCTTCTGTTTGAAATGGAAGAGGAAAAGTTTTACTTGAAATTGAGTCCTATCTCTGAAGTTTTAAATTTCTGATCAATAAAACATAAAGCTTTTAAGAAAGAATCGTAAGAGTCATTATTTCAATTACATTCTAGGTATTCAGAGTATGGGTATAAATGAATGAAATGAAAGAACAGATAAGTATACTTGAGTTCACTTTTTTAAGCAAAAATTATGAAGGAAAGCAATAATTTGGCAGTAGTAATAATCTTTATTACTTGTTCTATTTTTTATCATCATGCCACTAAAACAGAATTATTAACCTATAATTGCATGTATGTAACAAAACATATCTGTAAGAAATGTAATAATATCTATAAGCACAGATGAAAAGTTCCCCTTTGCTTCTACATAGAAATGTACTAGAAGAAAACACAAATGCCTCTTTATACATTTTCTATTGGCAAGAACTTTCCTAAGAAAGAAAGAACTGAAAAGAAGACTTACTTTTTTCCTACTCCTTTTAAAAATCTTTTATTTATTTATTTATCTATTTATTTATTTATTTAATTCTGGTGCTGAGGATTGAATGCATGGCCTTGAGTTTGCTAAAGCCAAAATGACTTATATTGCACAAAGTACTCTTTTTTTTCAGATGTTCAAGTAACATTTGAACATAGGAAAAAACATTTGTGTTTCTGGTAAGAGAAGGAATTTAATTTAACAAGAAATAAAATACATTTCAGAGCTATAAAATTTTGAGGATGCAGAGAAGTTGTACTTACTCTGCAGCTTAAGGTTCAGCTACTTAAGACTCACTCCTCAAATAGATGATTTGATGGTAAATTCTGTGCAACATTTAGAAAGTACATGTTTCTACCAATTCTAGTATACTAAATATTCTTTCAGATATTTTCATGTTTTGTATTTTATCCTGACGTACTCACTCATATTTTGGCTGTTGGCAAAGAAGTAATTCATAAAAGTTTACAATGTATTTTGATACCCAGATTGGCAAGACTTTGTCTACTACATAAACATTTTTGTAGTGTCATCATGATCTTAAATACTGCATGCAGGTGGGACTCAAAAATGTTATAACCCTGATATTTTAATTAATTTTTTATTTTAAAATTTTTGTGAAATTGGTAACCATAGAAGAGCTCACACATTGGAGACAATGAATATTCCTTTTCACAAACACTGTCACCAGGGCATGGACCTACTATGGATAGCCTTTGTCCCTTGAAAACAAGGCAGAGCAAGTGACATTAGGGGAGAAGCAGGCAGCTTGTGCAGCCTGGGAACCTTCTGTTTGCTGCTCTCTTGTTCTTCTGACTGAAGGCCTGCACTGCCTGATCCTGTGGACCAATGCTCTGCTCTCTCTGTTTAAATAAACAAACAGTAAGAGATAACTTCAGAAAGTATATTGGAACAGAGGAATCAACAAGTTTGTGCAGAAAGCTATTGGCACATTTTTTAAAAGTGTAATCTGCCTGAAGTGGTACAAAATTAGGAAAGCAACATGTGTTTGATGCTTGGAAAGTGGGAAAGCTGCCAGTGAACTCTATTGTCTGCTCTCTTGAAAAGTAAATTAAGTGAATGGAATATTTTCAAAAAATTCAGGGCTATTCAACAAGCCTTGTTATGAAGTTGGTTGGCTAATGAAGATGACATCAAGTTATCCTTCAGAATTTGATGAACTAGTGAGTTAAGCATGTGAGAAATAAATAATATCTAGTGAGGAGTGAAAGTGCTCCTCCTAAATGTACTAGTGTGAATTAAGGTAAAAAACAAAAGAACAACAACAAATGTGGAGCCATGTTCTTAATTCAAAGAGTTCTAATAAAGGTTCCTCAGTAGATAACAGATAGTGGGTTATATTTGAAGAATTTTTTTAGCCCTCTTGTTGCTATATTATGAGTAATCTTTTTTTCTCATTATGCACTTTTCTACAATGTATATGACCTACTTGTGAAAGTGTGTACATTAACAATAAACTGCTGTATGTACTTAATCGTTAACAATTAGTTTAACAATTAGGAATTATATGCCCCTGGGAAACCAGCTACAGGTTTGTTTTTGTTTTACTGCTCATTAAGTCTGCCTGGGTGCTAGACCTCCAAGGTTTGCAGGTACAGAAGCTCCATGGGAGCATGAAAGTCAAGTATCCTGTTGAAAGAAGGGTTGGTCTCCCTCCTGCTCTGTCCCCATGGACAATAGAGAAGACCCATTACCCTGCTTCCCCCAGTTGGCCCCTTGTCCTTCAGCCCCTGACTTCCCAGATCCCATACCTGTTCTTTCTGTCCGTGTCATCAACATGACTTCCACGAGCTAGGAAATATTTCACTCGAGGTAAGTCACCATTTCTGACAGCCTCGTGAAATTTGTAAATCTTATTTTCCGAGCGGTAGGCAACAATTTTCCTCCAGGCCGAGTTCATTGTGAGGCATTGGATACTCGCTCCCCTTGGGGGGCTTCCTCTGCCTCCAACTCGGATTCTTTGAACTAAAGATTAGCTGAAATAAATCGCTGCAAAGCGCCCCAAAGTGTAGCCGCTGCGAGATTAATATCTCTCCACGGTAAAATACCCGTTGCCAGGCAACACCAATAAACAGAACTGTTTGTGGGGGGCATGGCCTCTTGCTGGACAGAATCAGCTAGGCCAGCAGTGATTGGCTCCTGGCAGACTCAACCACCTACTAGTCAGCTATTGGCTCTTCTGTCCAGTAGAAGATGGAAGTGTAGGATATGCAGTATTATGGGTGGCGCTAGAGCGGAAATAAAACCGCTAGAGCGGTTGCCTCAGGCCCAATACATCCAATATTGATGGGGGAAGGAAACTTTAACCTTGACATCACAGCTTGCTGCTGCTGCTGCAGCAGCAGCAGCAGAGATAGAGCTGGATGAAATTTAAGCCTCATGGTGCCAAAACAAAACTTACTGAGCATGGTGCAAGGAGAAGACCTATCTGAGCTTATGGAAGGACAATCTGTGGCATGTCCTGCTGCACCCAAAATTCATGGCAGGCCACCTGGAGTCCCCAAGACCCAGGGGCCAGTCTGCAGTTTAGAGAGGGTAGAGTGATGTTTGGGCTCACTCTCTTTGGGGGCTATGCTCTGGCCAAGCTCTTCTTTGGAGTCCCTGGGTTCTAGCGTCCTAGGCAGCTCAGTCATGGCTTGAGATTTTCCACCATGTTTCATGCCCTGTAGTATGCCAGGAAGTACCCTGCCTGAGCTGAAGCAGACACCCACAGGCTAAAAATGAGATTCTGCCAGTTCAGTTGTCCCTGTGTCACTGGGGATACCCCCTCCAAGACAGCTACCCTTTCCAAGCTGTAGTTGTTTACCTCCATGAAGGATGAGGACACTGAGATGAGGCTCCAGGTGATGGCTCAAAGTCTGAACTTGTCCAGGGTACCTGCTCTGCAGCCTTCCAGACACCAGAGGCTGATGACTGGGTAGATCAGAACATCAGGATGCTGAATGCCTGGTCTCCAAGAAAACTAGCTTAACACATTCTCCTCAAATCTATATATCCCTCCCACATCCACCTGGTTCCTAGCATGGTTCTAGGGGAATTTAGCACATGCAGTAACAGAGACACAAACTTTTGAGGAGTAGCCAGTAAATTCGCCAGATATAATAAAAAGCATATCTGCTTGCCCCTTGCCCCTTCCTTTTGGACTAGCTTTCCTTATATACTTTCTTTTATTCTATTTAATTTCCCATTTAAAATTGTAATCAGTCAATGATTTATTGTGGATCATGGTGGCAAGGTGTAAAGCTTAGGAAAGTCTTTTTTCCACTGATATTTATTTATTTATGAGGGAGGAAGATGGAGGGCTAAAGGGAGGCAACATCCTGTATCACTCTGTGATCCATATCTCTCCTAGTCAGAATACTGCATTTGAGCAGGACCCATACCCCAAAGATCTAGCCAAAGCAGGCCTCATGAGCACCTTAGCAGAATCACCTATCAACACATCTGCAGATCTCCAAGACTTTGCTCTACTCCCACGCAGGTCACTCAGCTGCTACCTACCCATAGCAGCACGCCATCCCCAGCTTCCCCTGCCTCACCAGACTCACTGGCAATGAAAGAAGACTGCCTCCATCTTGGCTCAACAGTCTCACCATATTAGGTGGGGGCAGCTCCCAGATCAGATCTTCAGCAGCCAGGTACCAAAATCCCAACATCCCCCCTCTTCAGCATTGTTAACCCAACACAGTAGTTGTCCAACACAGGTGTGCAGTGCAACCAGGGAGCTTCCCACGAGAGCCCCTGTGTGAGAGGTTCCTCAATTGAGAACTGCTAAGGAAAACAGGAAGAAAGTTTGGAGCCTAACAGAGACCAGGAATTGGGGAATCTCCAGGCAAGATACGGAGATAGTACCAGATGCTCAAGTCATAGATGTGACCCCCAAAAAGAGACTCATGAGGTACAGTCTCCCTGCAGGGACTGGCAGGTGCTACTCCCTGCTTCCAGAATCCCTGCACCAGGACCAATCTTTCTACCCTGGTTACCTCCACCCTCCCGAGGGCAGAGACACCAGCTTACAACAGACAACCCCTTCTATGGCATGAGAAGAGAAGCAGGAAAGATATAGATCTCTAAAATTAGCAACAACCCCAGTTTCTTCCTTTGAGATGTTTTTCCCCTCTTCTACTCTTCTATCCTCCGGCCCTCACATCCCCACCATATGTGAAAACAAGAACTTTGCATGAAATAGGACTTAGAGGACTGAGTCATCTGAATAATATAGTATAGAGTTGTTGTATCTGCCCTTTGTTTCCTTTTCCTTTTTTTCTTCTTTCATTTTTCTTTCCCCTTCCATAATTTGCTATTTTAACATGTGCATTTTTCTAAATACATATTTGTGTGGGTTTTATGTACAATGAACACAATAACTTAAACTTATAACCTAATTACTCCCTTAAACCTAATAACTCCCAATAAGGCATCTAGTGTTTTCTGACATAGAACCAAAAATAATTATTTCAATAACTATCATAGTATAAAGAAAATATTTGCTAAAACAATTTATGATTTCAAATGGTGAATGAGAGAACAGAGGTAGTGTAGTATGCAATATTTACGAGGGAGGAAGATAGAAGCTAGAAGTAAAAATTCATAGGAAGTGTGGAATAATAACTGACAGAGATTGACTGTTGGTTGGAGAAAGAAAGTCCAAGAAAATAGAAAAGATAAAGGAAGAATACAAAGAGGAAAAAAAAATAAAGACATAAGAATACAACAAAAATGCAAAACACCATTCATATATCATTGTCCTTCACACACTGATGCATAAAAAACAACCTGTTCCAAATATGGTAGAGAGATTAGTGAATTAAAAAATAAAATAAAATAAATCTTCCTGTAAAGTCAAACTGCCAGTGTTCATCAGTTTCTCAGCCCTATCTCTGACATCTCTTGGGATCACCAAACCCAGATCAGCCCTTGCAAACCCAGCCTCTATCCCACCAATCTGAGCTTCAGATTCCTCAGGGTTGGCCACGCTGCAGTCCCAAGATCTCAATGCTGCTCATACTTGCTGAGAGACCACCAGGGATACACTCATGCAAAGGAGCAACTCTGAGATGCAGCAGCAGCAAGACAATGGCCACCAGCACTCTCACCAGGAAGACCCCAGATTCCTCCAAACCTTCTAGCACCCTCACACTGAACCTGCATGTCCCAGCGGGAGTCCCCAGACAAAGGCTCTTGTGGTGCTAAACCTGCTGGCATTCAGGTCTCTGCACAGGCTGATGTCCCCAAATGGGTGCAGCCACATGCAACCAAACCTTAAGTCTCCCTCGAAGTAGTCCTCTAGGTTATGGTAGCAGTGGTAGTGGTGGTGGTTGATGGCAGCGAGTCAGTAGTAGTGGTGGTTGCAGCGGTAGCTACAATAACAACTGAGGGGGCATTGTATCTAGGTGATCTCCAAGGTCAGCAGCAATGTAGGCTTCAGTTGCATCCAAGGCAGTGGTTTCCTTCTGTGGCAGTAGCATCCAGAAAGAAGACCTCCATAGGATCTCAGGCTGGCGGCAACGGAATCAGAGGCAGCAATGGAGTTAGCAGTGCAAGTGGCGGTTGACTGACAGGAGACTTCAGGTTCAGCAGCAGCTACCTCGGAGGTAGCAAAGGAATTCAC